GCCATGAGCGCTCGGAGTATGTGGAGGTCGAAACCAAAGCCTGTACCCAATTCTTGAGATCGGGAACTGCTCTGGGTATCCAGGGAACCGCTGCATCATAGAAAGAGGAACATCGGTGAGAAAATAAATGAAAGGGCGAAATAGAAGGAAGTAACAGCAGAACCACACTTACGTTTCATATTCCACTCCTCGGGAAAAGGCATCTTTTTAGTCGGAATCAGGTCCGAAATCCTTACTCGAATGAACCTGCCTATCCAGCCTCGATCCCCATCCTCGTCAATACTCGAGAACAGAGCCTTGGTAGACCGACGCTGAAGTTATATTAACCCTCCTCGAAAAAGGCAAAGACGGTACAACCAGATGATATGGTCGAGGGTGAACGACATCCCCTCGATTTTGTTCACAAAGTATCGAATCAAAATAATGATCCGCCAAAAAGAGGGGTGGACCTGACCTATGGTTATTTGGTATTGACGACAGAAGTCAATAATAACAGAATCGAGGGGACCTAACGTGAAAGGGTAAGTATACACACTTAAAAACCCTTTCACGTAAGTGGTGATATCTTCGTTAGAAGAAGGGATTATTATTTCTTTACTCTCCCAATTGCAATCTTTTTTCAGCTGTTTGAGGTGCCTCTCGGTTATCGAACACATGTACATCGATACTGGCTCACATCGGCCGGGAACCGATGAGCCTTTATCGACCTTAAAATCATAGGTAAGAACACACGCCCCAGGAATGCACTCCTCAGGCTGTGGCTCTACCGGTGTTTCGTCGGCGGCAGACTATGAAGATGAAACTTTCTCTTTCTGAGGAATGGTTTGTGATGTTTTTGTCATTTTTCAAATTTAAAGGTCAGGAATAGAATAAAGTGACAAAGATTTGGTAATTTTGAAGAAGGAGGAATCACAGATCTGCGAATAAACTCAGAGGGTGCGAAAAGGAACTTGGAAAATTTGGAAGATGAAGATGTAAAAATGGTAAATGGTAAAAGTAAGGGTTATTTATAGAAAAAAAAGACAATGGCGGTTTAATGTCAGCGGTGGCCGACCACCGTCTGACATGCATTAAATGCCTTGAAAAACTAAATCAACGGGACAACTATCATGTACGTCATGATCGAACCCAATGTGAACGTCAGCTTATGATCCAATCGATCCATGGAGGAATCATATCGTTTCTCACCGCATCCTTCCCGAGAAACTAGGAGACTATCTGTATACGGTCGAAATAGGTTTCGGCCTTCGTACGATTGATCAGCATCGAAATATAATGGACCGAAGAATGACTTCGTAATATCGAGATGGTCCCGAAGATAATACAAACAAGCTTCGGATTCCAGGTATAGGTCAAACACCGAGTTCGAAGTCATCATCGAGCTCGGGTCTGGATCGAACTACGATGAGACGACTTCGAGCTCAAAGGGCGGAGGTCAACCGGGGCCGAGTCCAAATCATCACCTAATCCCGAATCCGTATCGAGCTCTAGAAGCGCTATCGACTAGCACCGAGGCCGATCGAGTTCGAGCCCACATACAAGAGCCGTTGTAAATACACTAAGGGAGAAAATCTCGGCGGGAATACGACAAAAGCTGATTTATCATGGAGTTTTCACTATGAATTTTTAATTATATTTAAAGTAGGATCATCCACTATAAAGAGGATGACTACATTTCTGTATAGAGTCATTCAAGCACCATATTCTTCTATATTCAAGAACTATTCTTGAAGGCTTTGTTAGTTGATTCATTTTGCTTAGTTTATACCATCATCTTCTTCCCAATCTTGTTTATTTTGCATTCTCTGTAATCCATATTTGATATTTCTATTCATCCTTACGATTTGTATCAAGCTATATCACGTATCCTTAGAACTACGTACAAATTTAACTATATCTGTTTTTCGGGTAAACACAACTCATGATTATGCCTTTGTAATCATTATTTATTGGATTGATTAGCGGTTATGGATATAATAAGAGATGAGATGCATATACTATATATAGTATGTCATATATAATTAATGAAAACATCTTTTGCTACCCATGACGGGCAAGTAGATGGTATTATTATGAATCAATATAAAGATACAAGTTTCTAGAAAAGGGATCCTCCCTACTAAGAATGAGTTAATTTTTATATAACCGATATCGTATGATTTTTATATTAAAGAACACTTAAAATTTATTTATCGGTACTTTTCCGTTGCAAAGCATGCTTGCAAATTTTGTTACTTCGTAATATACCGTAACCACTTTTTGGGTGTGTTTGGTATGACCGAAAATGTTTTCTCATTTTTCACTGTTTGATTGCACAAAATAGTTTGAAAAATTAATATTTTTTTATATATCACATTTTTCTGAAATTGGAGGAAAATAAAAAAGTTAAGGAAAATATTTTCCATAAACTCCACCCAGCCCAGCCCACACCCCCCTCCCCCCGCATTTTTTTTTTACTTTTTATTTTATTTTATATATTTTCAATTTTCTATTTTCTGTCTGTTTTCTGTTTTCTGTTTTTTCGTTTTTCTGCACCCCCCCTTCCCCCACGCAAAACTTATATATATATATATGGGTTTAGAAATTATAAAGTTTACGGGTTCTGAAGTTTACCGATTGAAAGTTTGCGAGTTCGAAAGTTTAGCGGTTCAGAAGTTTATGAAATTTGTGGGTTCAGAAGGTTGTTGGTTCGAAAGTTTATGGCTTCATGTTTATTGTATCTAAATTATTTATGAATACTCTAAAAAGTTATTTTCCTTAATTTACATATCAAACACAGGAAAATGAGTAAGATTACTACTTGTTTTCCAAAAAAATATTTTCTTGGTCCGTTATACCACACACCCTTTCATCTCAAAATAAAAGGTCTCATAAAACTTTTTTAAGGTTCAAGTAAATCATTTCTTAAACAATACATTACTTTGGAATTAAGGTAACTACTAGGATCCAGTGCCGTATTCAGAGATAACTGCTAAACTAATCTTCCAAAAGATTTATTAAAATATGCCAAACTATTTAAAGGACAAAGAAAGATATGGACATTTTAGTAAAGCCTCTAATGCGACTGAAAGAATGGAAGACAGAATATTACGGAATTTCCACTTTACGTCGTAATCATGGAAAACAGTAAGCAACACATAAATATATTTATGCTTCTAAAGTGCTTTTTTTTTTTTTTTTTTTTTTTTTTCTCAAAAGCATTTTTTCCCCCTAATTTAAAGTGTTTGGCCAAGTATTTTTGGGAAGAAGCAGAAGCTGTTTCTGAGAAGCAGAAAAAAGTAACTCTTTTCGAAACGCAGAAACAGAAACAGTTTTGACTTTTCTTCTTACCAAAAATACCCTTAACAAAATATAGTATATGCCAAAATAATCGTTAAACCTAATACTTAGGATATTAATGTATAAATATTTCTTATTATTTTTAGGATAACTTTCTAATATATAGTGACTTTAGGGGTGAATGCTTTTATATTTGTTGAATGATTTTTAATATATTTAACCTATATTAAAAGAATTAAATACTTTTAAATTTTATTTTTATATTTTACTTAAATAAAATAAAAATATTTAATTATTACATGTAATAACAAATTTTTAAGATTATTTATTTACTTATAATATTAACTATTAAGTAAATCTATTCATGTCGTTATTCGTAATTTGATACTTAAAAGCATTTTCTGAAAAACGTGGCCAAATACAAATTATTGCTCAAACATATTTTTGAGAGTGATTAATCAAACACAAACTGCTTCTCTTTAAAAGTACTTTTTTCAAAAGCACTTTTAAAAAAAATACTTCTTTGGCAATAGATGAAGCTAATATGCTCCACTGTTTTTTGCTTTTCTAAGGTGAAAACGAAGAGAAGTAGAGAGTACATGTCTTAGAATTTGAAGCAAAACTCAGATTCTTGATCCTAGGGAATCATGAATCATTATTACTAGAGACTGCAAATTAATTCCAAGTTTTTAATTTTATCTTTACTTATTCCGAAATAACTCTCTCATCTTTTATCCCCCTAGAAGATTGGTAAGACTTTAGTCACCAATTCGTTTAAAAGGAATTGATTCGATACATATCTAATGTGCACATGGGTACTATGCTGAGTTGATTTATATGCCGATCGAATCAATCTTTATTATCAGTAATTTTTTGTTTTACTAAGTTCCAAATCATTCTAATTAACAGGTTTGTTTTCTTCAAAGGAAACAATAGTAAGAGCACTGAAATACATCTTAGCAGCACAATTTATTTCATAGTCTGGTAGTTCGCAGACAAACTTTTTGGGTACTCAAAAGGCTCTAATATGTTGGATCTTTTTGCCCTAATTTTAGACAAAGTACTTTTATAAAAGTGAAAAAGATAACTACCATACCCTTTCGCCAGAAATCGTCGGTCACAGTTTTCAGGCCTCAATAGTTTGTAATATACGAGTGGTCTAATTTATATGACTGGCACTGGAATTTGTTTTGTTATTTTGCAATCCCTTCATTATAGCATTAATTTTAGTTAAACTTGAAGCTTTACTCTCGCATTATAAGTTTATATTTGACTTGTTATATGTTCATATTCTCCAGATTAATCTGTATTAAAAGTGGTCGTTTGGATGGCGTGTTGGAGTAATTAATTCCAGCGTAATATAATGTGTATTAAAAGTGGTCATGTGAGAATGATGTTTTAAGAATTTGAGATTTGAATGCTTGCTTGGGAGTTGGGAACAAGAAAAGAGTAAAAATAAAGTAAAAGGCGAGAAATATGTATGAGCGAAACACGATTCAATTTTCTAAATCAGTAGAGAGTTTGACCATGACTTCTAAAATTCAAGTTGTAGCAGTAAAAAAATCCATATAACCTCTTAAGCCACTCATAGCACATAATGGATACGTTCTGGTTATGATATTTTACGAAATTAATCTGATAGGATTTCAAACCATTTGATCTTGGTTTTAATTTATTTCGATTTGAGTAAAAAATCATTTTTGTGAAAACGGTGATGAATATACATGAACAAGATCCCATGAAAAAATAGTTGTCACTTGTCACTTGTCTAGCAAGGACAAGAAGCCCCATTATTACAACGGGACAATAAACCCAGTCTAAAACGATTTTGGAAGAAAAACCTTCTGCTTCCTAGCAACTTGGGTACTAAAAAAGTTGGAAGAAATGTACATAAATGGCATGCCATATAGCTATCATACTTGCGCAAACAATAGCCTGGCATCTTTCAGTATCTACTATTTTCACTTTGAAGCTATTTTGCAAATTTGAAACTGAATAGGGCCACTGCACCAACGATATGCACCCGAGGAACCAGCAATGGACCTACTAAAATCATGAAAAGAACACCAGCAAGAGCTCAGTAAGAACATTGTGGCCCATCTTAGTGACTGAGTTGTACAGACAAACCTCATCCCCGCCCATGTAGGATCTTGTATTACACTCGTGACAATTTTAGAACCAAAATTTCCGAGGTTTAGCTATTAAACGTTGTTTTAATAGACCTGGAGACTCGTCTAACACTGATAATCACTTGCTTAGATTATAGGGATTGGCTCTTCAGCATTGCTGATGCTACTGAGACAAGGTGGCTTGGCAGCTCCATAATAGAAGAATGCCATCATTTTGGACAACTCGTCTGCTGTTCGGTTCCCTACTCAAGAATTAAAAGAAAAAGAAGATTAGAGATAAAATGAGGATTTGAGATCAAGCAACAAATGTCAAAAGAAATATTCCATTAGATAGACTTTAACCTTTCTCGCGGTGCATGATTTTCCCTGCTTTAGTAAAGATGAGCTCGGGAAAAATAGAGACTTGTAAAGCAGACACCAAGTCAACTTCAACAACAGCATCAATTGCTACACACTAGAGAAAAAAAAAACTATCAATAGTGTGTTTGGAATATAATTGCATAAAAGTTAAATGATTCAACTTACCCTTGGAGATGGTAGTCTGCAGTTCCAGATGATGTGGACAGCCTTCTCCAATTCATTCCGAACCATTTCATTTTCCTTTGGCCTGTGTGTAACACACAGCTTTCATAAGATAGTATTTGAAAAACTTACTTTAGACCTAAAGTAAGTTATTGAGAGAGACTTTGCACTTTGAAAAACTTACTTTAGGCCTTTGTTTTTTAAGGCTCAGCCAGTAACCAATTTTATGATAAGAAATCCCTTCAAAGAAAGGAGAATGCATGGTTTTTCGTCAATGAACATGATCTCAAAGAACAGCAGAGAGGAATATTTAGGGAAGAGATTGCCATCATGAAAAATATACAAATAAAGTTAGGGTTATTTGTGAAATAAATTATGCTGATCTCTTCTAGAAACGTTATCTCTAGAATGCCAAGTCTTCCAATATTTTTGAGTAAAAACCCTTTTTAGTAAAAGTTTACCAGGTCATCTTCACATAAAAGAATTGATATTTATGAAAAGACATAAAAGCGAAAGGAAAAAATTAGTGAATTCGGTGTCATTCTCCTCTAAGCTGATATGGACTGACAAGAATGACAGAACTCACCTTTTTTTATTTAGCACTCTAATTTAAACAGGACTCACCAATTAATTTAGTTTACTACACGTCTGATTTTTCGGTCCTAACTGTGAATAAGTGGGAGAGACTTCAAAGTGTTTGTATTAGTACTGCGAAGAGTAAGGAAATCTAGAGAGTGGATGTGCATACGCAAGCTACCATGTAGTAAACGAATTTGATTATCTAATAGAAGCAAGATAGATAAGTACAGACAACAGATAACCCTAGACCATCAGAGAAGCAAGTAGACTCTTCACTGTCAGGCACTGCATTTCATATATAATTTCAAAGGCTACATCTTTAATGAGAAATGCAGAGGGGCTGCGAGATCACCTTTTGTAACGATTATGAACAAGTATAATAAGAGGACTGATGTCCTTAAACACAGACTCCTCCCATTCTGCAGTGGTTAAGTCCTTAATTGGACGAATATAATCATCATCTTGCCATACCACTTCATTGTCACTGTCATAATTCTCATCATCATCATTATCTTTCTTAACGTTCTTGATAGTGATCTTGTTAAAGAATTGATCCAAGTTAAAACCCCGCCCATCCGCATCTTCTGGCCAATCAGGGTCTTCCTCTTCAACAACAAGAGGGTAATCAGCCAAAAGCTTTTGCATCTTTTTTCTTTTCTCAACAAGATCGACCTCTTCCTCAACATCAGGAGACATTTTAATGACATCCCTTATCTTCCTCCGCCATTCCCGCCTTTCATCCTCATCCATATGAAAGTAATCATCCCTCTTATGACCTCCATCAGATTCAGAATCAGATTCAGATTCATCTCCTGAATCTTCCTCTCCATTACCAAATTTTAGCAACTCTTCTAGCTTCGAAGCTTTTAATCCCTTTTGTCTGAGACCATGAACCTGATTTTACAGTTCATTGTCAAAGCAGGGATCTTGAAGAATATGAACATGTAATAGAGATTAACGGCAATGATGTAGTCCAAACAAATAAGAAAGGAAGTGGAGAGAAGAGCATACCAGCAATTGGGACGTCCAAAATCTTGGTGCTGACTGGCCACAATAATTCAAATTCAATGAAGATACAATAGAACTTCTCAGTTTGTTTCTCCTTTGAGGAATAATTCCAAACACTGAAGGGAAGCTTCTCAGGCATTTCTCCTCTAAATGTGGGGCCAAAAGCTGCAGCCTTAGACTGTGTTGTAATTCCATTGACTAGAAAATTAAAAAAAATAAAAAAATTGTAACTTACCATAAAGAAATTCCGTGCAATAAGGGAGAGAAAACATAGTTATGGCATGCAATTATCCCATTTGCTATATTTCAAGTTCATAATGGTTAAGGCTGCGTATATCAGACCCAGCGTGATCCGGCCCTTTCCCGGACTCCACGCATAGAAGGGGCTTCGCTTAGGTCACCACTGGCCTTTATAATGGTTTTATTGAAACACAGGGACTCTTCTATTATTCATTTTCCCGACTTATTTTATAGTGTTTTATTATCCAGTATCCTATGCTGGACCTACAACAAATGGGTTTAAGGTCAAATGCAAAAAAAAAACATAGTTCATGAATTGAACCTTAGATGGATTATGCATTTACTCTGTATTTCTTTGTCATTCCTCAGCTATTAGTAGAAGAGGAATGGTGAACTTGATTTCCTCAACCAGCGCAATTGAGAATGCAAAAAGGACCTCTACAATCACCACAAGACCAAAGGGAAAAAGGTGTAGTGTCATATATGAGAAACGGTGAACTTCATTTTCACCAGAAATTGCGATTGAGAAAGCAAATAACATCTTTACGATCATCAAAGACCCAGGAAAGAAAAGTACGGCATCAAAAATTGGTACAACTGAAGAAATAACTCATAACCTAGATTCATCTTAGAAGAGAAAGGAAAAACCAGCTGTAAGAACAGCATTTACAGCACAGAGTAATCCAAAACCACAATATCATAATAAGAAAGTGTTTTCCTCTCAACATAGCAAAAGACCATATTCCCTACTTAGTTTTCTGTCATCAAGTCATGACTCATGTGTTCCCTATGTACAACTGTATAAGTCAACTCGTTTTCATGTTGCAGGTCCTTGTAGCATGTATATGTTCCAGGCAATTTAGCGCACTAGAGCGCTGATGTATCGCTCAGTCTCACATATCTCTTAGACCTAGCATTTGCTAAGTGGAACCTGGTATTGGTCGTAAACTCTATCCACATGAGTAATTAGCGCACTACACCTATTATATAACATTTCGCAAGTTGGGTGTACTTGATAATCAACTAGCGTACTTGATGATCAACCAAGTGCTCATAAGTTACTGTAGTCTGAGGAGGGATAAATCCCTGATTACAATGCATTTGAATATTCAGCCTTAACGAGAAGTGCATAGCAGTTAGAACCCCTGCTCCTGAACCCTCAATGTCTAAGGAAATCCACTAATTTACGACAAACTGTTACCAAATAAACAAATAGTAGAATATAGCTCTCTCATCCATTTCCAGTTTTAGGCCACCAATTACAGTTACCACTTGGAGAAAAGACCCCTAAGTCATAGACAAAACTTTACATACTTATCTCGATACTCGGGTTTTAAGTATGTTGTTTGTTATTCTCAATGGTCACTCCATATTCATACAAGATTCAAATTGAACATCATGCACTACCACAAATTCAAGTGGGGCAACTTTTCAAAAATAAAAATAAAATAACAAACATCATATTAGTGAAGTTTGTGACTGAAAGAAAAAAAAAAAAAAGACCTAGGTTTAATCCTAATTCAAATGTAGAAAACAACAAGCAAAACAAGCACAGCAGTTAAACTTGGAGTATACAACAAATTTAAAAGCACAAATTGCTTTATTCATAGCATCCAAACCATACTTCAAACAGGAAGATTCTGGAAAAAAAGAAACGATTGAGACTTAACCCCCCCAATTTCAAACGGAGAACCCAGAAGGAAATTACAGAAAACTCAGCTTAAGGGGAGGGACAAGTTGAAGAATTCTTACTTGGTTAGAATAATTAGTGTTTCTTGAGCTGGTACGATACACAGCTTCGATAATGAAAGGATTCAAGAAAGAGGGAAATGGTAGTTAAAAGGTACTATAATGGAGTGAAACCCCGTGGATGAAACTGCAGATTTTATGGCTTTTGAAGAGAGTTTAGTGATAAGGGAGTGGAAATTTCTCTAAAATCTGAATATCGAGTTTTTGCTTATTTTTTAGTGGGCGTTTGGATGGTGAAGTTTCGAATTTTTTTTTTTGAGTGCTTTAAAGTAAAAAATTTTAAAAATAGCTTTTTGAAGTTTTTTAAATTTCGAAAAATTATAAAATTTAACTTTAAGTGAAAAATTAAAATTTTTATGACGGAATTCGGAAAGGAATTTCGAAAAAAAGGAAAAGAAATTTCAAAAAAAAGGAATTTTTTTTGGCCAAACGGCCCTTAGTAACTTCAATGTCGTGTAAATTGTATTTGCCACAAAGCCTTTTTACACTTACTTAAAAACAATTTTTTCCTTCTTAAAAATTGTCCAAACATTGATTTTTTTTTTTTTTTTTTGGTTGGGTTTTTCAATATATTCGGATGGCTTGATTAAAGAGAGGAAAAGAAAACCCAAAAATTAAATCTTCAGTCTCATGGATCCTCAGCTGTTTAAAGTTTTGGATAATGCTTTACTATTTTGCATTTGGAACCTCTAAACTTTGTCTTATATAAACTTTCATGCTTATTTAATTCCGATTTAGCTGTCCACTATTTGTTAGAAAGACCTCAAAATTTCAATTTATATCATACTTGTAGTCCAAACCTCTTGCTGAATTGATAAAAGAGTATCATCTTACTCCCTCTCTCCCTACAAAAGAATGAACCTTTTACTATTTGAAGAACCAAATAAGATTTTTATTGACCATATCTTTTACAAATAGTTTTTAAATATTTAAAATTATTAATTATTATATCTTATAGTATTTTTTATGTAATTTCTAAATATATAATTTATTTCAAAAAACTAAAGGATCCATGTCCCAATTTATACAAAAAACCAGTCAATGTGACCTCATGCTCCGAAAAGATTCAAGCAAATTAAAACAAAGGGAGTATTAAACTTTTACAAGTTAACTCAGGTACATTTTTCAATTCAAAGTATATTTACTCCCACAATATATAAAATACTCCCTCCTTCTGACTTTATGTGATACAATTCGGAGTACGAGTGTTAAATATTTAGTTTTTGGTGTGAATTATGAATAAAATATATATATATATATATATATATATATATATATATATATATATATATTTAGCAACTACATAAAAAAATACTATAAATTATAATAATAAAAGTTTAAAATATTTAAAAGACATAAGAAAAAATTGTGATAAAAAAATTCCTTTAACTCCCGAAATCAACTGTATCACATAAATGGAATCGGTATGATATCGATCACAAAAGTAGTTACTATATCAAATAAGTTAAAATCTCGGAGAAGATTTACATAATGGAATCTTCGCAAAAGTAAAATGAATTTAACGATATGTCATTTTTTACCTCTTATTTTGTAAACTAAAATGAAACGAATTGAAAACAGAAACGTTTTATCCACACTTTTGTTAGACGCATAAACTTGGAAAATTTTCATAGTTACTTAAGGATTTGTAAAATATTCCATAATATACAACTTGGTTTTGAATTACAAATTGTACAACATATATGTTATAAATATACTCTAAAAATATGGTAACTATCCCTATTTAAGGGGAATGTCATCAAATCCTTTAAGTAACGTATGAAATTTTTCCTGGGGTATGGTAATCTGAAGGGTATATTTAGGCCCTAAATATTCTCTAATTTGTTAATTATTAATTATCAATATAAACATATTAGGTTACCACTACAACACTACCTCATAACAAACGCTCCATATTCCCTAAAAATAGGTAATAGTCGTAGTTGGTATGAAAATTGTCGATTCTTGCATCGTCTCTTCCTGAATCTCCATCTTTGTATACTTAAGGTAGGATATTGTACTCTAAGAAATAATGATGAATGTATCAATTCTGATTCAATACAATGGAGTTTGGCAAGACAATCGCAGATATGTTAAATTTGATGCTGAAGGGATTTTGATCAATTCGAGCTGCAATTTTGAAGAGTTGGTCACGACAATATCGAAGCAGATCAAAGGTGAGACTTGTACAAAGTTGATTGAAATTAAGTACATTGTTCAGGAAGGGTATCCACCAATTTCCATATCAAATGATATGAATGTACAATTGTATATAGATTTAAAGATGAAAAAGACAGAAATCACTTCGTATCCGTTATGCATAACATTCAAGGACAATGCAGTCGACAGAGAATATGTGAAAGCAAATAATTCTGCGATATCATCACATCATGTAAATGATTTAAATATACCATATTTGCTAGAAAATGGAGCAATAGGGGTGATATGTAATGGGCAAAACTTCGACGGCATAGATGAAGCTCAACATAGTATAATTCGAGACCCGACAAAGAAACCCTTATAAGTGTTATGAAACACTGCGCAATCCGTGAGAATTTTCAGTTCAGAGTTCAGAGTTCCTGTACAAAAAGGTATATTTAGTATTGTTATATAAATTTGTTCCTTGCAACACTGGAATGTTAAAACATGTATATAGTATATTGAAAATATGTATGCGTGTATTATTTAGATAGAAGTAGTAGAAAAGTATTACATGTTAAGTTGTATATATTATATTGCTTATAGGTATAAAATATAGTATTTTCATATTCAATATATCATATTTTTCTTTCAACAGGTATTGTCTCGTATGCGTAGACGACATGTGTACTTGGAATTTTGTATCTTCCAGATTGAACAAAACTAAGATATTCAAAGTGAGGAAGTTCAATAATGTTCACAACTGTTGGGTCGAAGAACGAATGTATACACAACGTCATGCTACATCAGATTTCATAGGATATCTTATACAAGACAAATATGTTGATCCGAAGACTGTGTATACTCCAGCAAATATAAGGCGTGACATGAAAAAAAATTCATGGTTTCGACGTGAATTATATAAAAGCTTGGAGATCGAAGGAAAAGGCGCTTGAAATGGTGCGAGGGAACCCAAGCAAATCATATGGAGAGCTTCCTAACTACCTTTACATGTTGATGCATACAAATCCTGGGTCCGTATATAGATTAGAGAAAACTGATGATGGATCATTCTTGTATTTATTTGTAGCTATTTATGCATCGATCAAAGGGTGGGAGTATTGCAAGCCAATCGTTGTTGTTGATGGCAACTTTCTAAAATCTACATATAGAGGAACAATAATCACCGCTTCAACACAAGATGCCGCATGTAATTTTAAAATATTGATGAGTTTAAATTATCTGCTCCTTCTAAGCTTTGTGTTTACTTGTAAGAGAATAAATAGAAGTGAGACTATCTTAGTTCTGAATAAATATGTGATTGTATATCAATTCCAAGTGGAGGATAATTAAGGTGTTTTGATCTTTTATGATCTCATCATCATATGTATGACGACGTAAAATATAATAGTATTTGTATTTCCTTACCTTTATTTCTCATTGAATGAATTATGAATCCTACTTTCCTTTGCTTATATATTGTAGTTCCTAGTTAGTTTCAGTTTATATTATTTTTGTGTTCGACTCTATTGATGAGTTTTCACAATAGTGTATAATATACTTCACATATAAATTAATACAACACCATACATACAATATACTTTTTTTTTTAATTAAGCCAATCACCCAAGCTATTATCACCTGTGGTATTGGGGGGTTTGGCAAGACCCCTACCATGTCTATAGATTGAAAAAAATAGTTTACATACAATGGAGGAGGGCATGGACCTTACCTCTTATACATCTTTCATGAGAGGATAACTACTATAACCTTACCTCTCATGATCGTCAATCAAAAGTTTCAACTAATAAAGAAATTCGCTTTGTCATACCTAATTCTAAAACTAGGCAGCTGCCACTTACCTAATTGAAAAGGCCCTTTAACATTTCCTCGGAGATATTGATAATTGTAATAATAGGAGTTATTACCAGTTGCAACTGCATTTTTAGCTAGCATATCTGCCAATTGATTGGCTTTCCTGTAGCAATGAGCTATGTTGACCTCTGTTTGATTCATCATCTGTGTCATATCTTCAACAATCCTTTGTACCTTCAGGTTGTTGGTCTTCTTAGCTATGAGAATATTGGCCACTATCTGAGAGTCTATCTCTAGATAGAGGTCATTATACCCCTATTGCAAGCACCATTGTAAACCTACCTTGGCAGCCATGGCCTCTATACAATTGTTAGGCCTACCTCTAATAGTTAAAGAGAAGGCCATAATCAAGTCACCTTTGTCATCTCTTACAATGCCTCCAAGGCCTGCTTTTCCCGATTCTTTTCTAAAGCTCCCATCAGTATTTATTTTTACTCTACTAGTAGGTGGTTTCTCCCATATGACTTGCTTTCAAGTAGCTATAGGTCTCCATGTTTCTATCTTTTCACAGAAGGATGTCCAAGGCCAAGTAACTGCACAACTGGGGAATGCCATTGATATAACTGCTTGAATAGTCCAACTAATCTGATGCTCCATCTTTTTGATAAAGAACTTTTTCTGTTCATCATATCTACATGAGCACCAATTCTTCCATATTTCCCAACATATTGCTATTTGTACAATATAGAGGATGAGTTTATGCACATTGTTGCTTGGCTTTACATCCCACAAATTTTTGAAAATTCTTCTAGCAGGCCATCTATCATGTCTAATGCCCAATGGAGCTCCAAAAAACTTCCACAAGTATGTAGCAGCCTCGCCTTCTATAAAAGTATGTTGCATAGAGTCCACAACTGGATTATTATAACATTTACATCCAGAAACAATATGGTGTCCCAAACTTAGCTAGAACTTCATCAAAAGGTAGCTTGCCAAGATACAGTCTCCAGGCCAAGAAAGAAAGTTTGAAAGGAATATAATTATGCCACAAATTGTTTAAAGCTTCATGTTTCTGCTTCCTGCTCCTAATAAGTTACCAGACATTCTTGTTGGAGTACTGACCATCTGCAGATGCATTCCATATGGCATAGTCCTCTTTATTTTGATCTCCGGTATCAATATCTGTGATAAGTTGTATAGCTTGATCTTTGAGTATATTTTTCAGATT